TTGCCATCAACAGCCTGTGCTGTTGCCTAAATATAGAGACCAAGACGAGCCAACCACCAATACAGATCATCTAATTACAACACTAGTATTGATTCCGCCTTCTGTAAGCACTGTTACAAGTACCTGATCACTTACCAGCACTTTATGATAATGTAGAGTTTTATTATTTGTTTTAAGATTGTATATAATTTGTTACCTATATGTTCATATATACAATCTCTTTGTAAACTGCCCTGAGCCCACTCCAGCGGGGAAGGCGGGGTATAAATGGAATAAATAAATAAATTTATTCACGAACTCTTTCGTTTCTCAGCAGTTTTCTGCACTGCATCCACAAGCAGTTTTTCCCTTGTCCTCTTCTTCCATTGCTTTCTCAACTCCTAGCATGAATCCCACAATATCTATCACTTCTACCTTCATTATATGTTTTAAGAGGTTAATTATGTTTCTATACTTTGTGGAAGATTTCACCAAATCACTTTTACTCTTAGGAACAAAGTCCTTGAAGTACTTCATAACCAAACTGAAAACAATCTGTCTTCTCACTGGGAAGTCCTCATGTTTCCCCAAAAATGCATTCATGAAAACGGAAAAAAACAAACTGTATTCATAACAATCAAAGAAATACTGACTTTACTGACCAGTTTTTTTTTGGAAAAAACTGACAAATTACTGACCAAGATGAAAAAACTGATTTTTACTGATTTTACTGACCATTTTCCACCCCTGCCAAAGGGAAGTGAGAAGTGCTGGAAAAGAGAAAGTCACATCAGAAGCCTATTCAGTCCTGTGGACAAGGAAGTTAGACAGATAGTGCTTTGTTACTCATCATCACAAGGAACAGTCATTGTCAGCTTTTATTTTTCAAGTTACAGGATATCAGAAACTAACAATAAGTCATAAAAAAGATCTACTATGAAAGTGTGACTGAAAAACACTGCAAAGACCTCTATTTAAAATACTTCTGTCCTCTTACTTTACAGCTATAACAATGCAAATGTGGGTATTTCTCAAACAACCATCAGCTTTAAAAAACTGTAAGGTGGAAAAGTATGCCTTAAGCAGCACAGGCATTTTAAAATGCTGCAATCAAAGAGATGAATGTGGTTCTGTACATCAATTATTTACAAAAAATGTAATAGAATTTAACAGACAGCCTGTTTATACTGTTCTTCCACAGGTGAACTACTGTAAAATGTGGAAATTATGGAAAAGTACAAGTATGGCACATTAAAACCAGTGAGCGTTCAGCTACTAAGAGGCAGAATGCATTCCCTAAGAGGTATTCTAGACATCTTTCTTTTGTACAGGGAATGCAAAGTTGTCACAAGTTATCTTTCCTCAACCAGCATCTCCATTACAGGGGAATCACAGTTATCTAGGAATAAACAGTTATCTAGGAATTACCACTGGGACAATGTGATTTTTGTCTTCTCATCTGGTTGCCTATAGTACTACTCCAGAAGTGTTCAGGTAGCTTTTTCAGATGCTAAACTTGTAAACACAAGAACAAACCACCCTCTTCCCCTGCCTTATAATTCTGCAACACTTTAACAGTATTCTGCATACTTCCTCTTCTCCAGAAGTGGGAAACACTCTTCCTTGATTGAAAGAAACAGTGAACATGGCAATCCTACTACTGCACAACTCCCTTTTATCTACTGCATGGGGACAGGAAATTCCCCCCCCCCCAAAAAAATGCTGAACTGTGCAGAAGAGAAACTGCCATTTTAGAAGAAAAGAAGAAGAGAAGAAGAGATTGGATTTATACCCCGCCCTTCACTTGGGAGTCTCAGAGCGGCTTACAAACTCCTCTCCCTTCCCCTCCCCACAACAGACACCATGTGAGGTGGGTGGGGCTGAGAGAACTCTGACACAAACTGCTCTTTTTCAAGGACAGCTGTGCCAGAGCTTGTGACTGACCCAAGGTCACATCAGCAGGTGCAAGTGGAGGAGTGGGGAATCAAACCCGGTTCTCCTAGATTAGAGTCCGCACACTTAACCACTACACCAAACTGGCTCTTATAAGTCATCTGAAATGGCCTTCACACCAGGAAATCTTGACAAAAAGAAGGGGATCACAGAAGCAACCAGCCAAGAGACACTTTTATTCAAACAGCAAACTGAGTTCTTCCTTTTTAATATTAAAATTTATAGCTTCTGAATGATTACCAGGGTGAACTTCATTTTTACTGCCACTTCATCAAAGATGGACTGAATGTAGAGCACTTTCTTCAAGCGCAAATTTCTAGGTAGAGTGAAGCATAAGAAGTTTGTTCCCCCACCCAGTAGTTCATATGTGATACCCTGGGTGGCCCTCTGACTGCATACTGCTTTTGCTTTGGTTAGTAGGCAGGACAGTAAAGCTGGCTGAGCAGAGGTGTGAACAGCTCCCAATTCCAAGGCAGAAAACAGAAGTTATTCATAACAGATAAAATATGTGCTCTCTAGCCCCATGAAAGCTTAAAAAGTATTTGTAATTAAAGTAATTAAAAAGATATCAATAGCAACTAGCTATAATAGCTCCAAACTGCTCTGTTCAGAGGCAGTATACCTCCAATTTATTTATTTTATCATTCACCTCCCCCCCCCATGGGGACCCAAAGCAGTTCACACCATTCTCGCCTCCCCCATTCTATCCTTAAATCAGTTTTTCTTTTACCAGTTACTAAACACAGGGGACAAACGGAGGACGGCCATCACTATCACTCCCTGCTTGCAGGCTTCCCAAAGGCCATTTTTATATTCTTACGAAAGGGCCCACATCAGGACCATTAACACAAACTAGTTATGCTTTAACTGTGAAGGGATCCTAACCATGCACTCTTGCTTTGTAAACCTAAAACATATCGGACGGTATACCATTAGAGTTCTCATTGTTTTTTAAAAAGTAGCCTACACAAAACGGAAGCTAGCCCACCAGTGATTTACATTACCAATCCTCTACACAAAGATATTTCCACTTGAAGTCATATTTGCATTCATTTGAAAAACAGTGCACAAAATGCAAAGCTGCACACATATCCAAGGAATACTTCAGGACAAAAACCAGAACACCAACAGATAATGGTTCATTGTCCTCTATGCTATGCTTAGTACAAGTAAGTCCTTTTTTAAAGATACTATATCTTAACCTTGTCACGATGATTTTTTCCAATTTAGGAACTAAAGTTAATAGCCATTTTTAGTGTATTAACAGTGACAAAATAGTTTCCAGATTAAGAACACAATATTACAGGCACCACAATTATCTTGTACCAACCTTGTTCTCAGCCTTACCACATATCTGACAGTGTGAATCTGGCACATAAACACTTACCCACAATAAACTCATTAATCTTTAAAGTTGATTTTAAATTTGTTCATAACTTGTTTATAATAAGCTGTTAACTTGATCTTTGAAATTTTCAGACATATTGTATTTGTTTTTCCAAAGAAATCCAAAAGTTAGATGAAGCCCTTCTATTATCATTTTATCTATCCAACCTCAGCAGTCTTTAAATATGTTTAGATTTACAGCAAAGTTACTCAGAAAACAAATACATCTTAAACATTGTAAAGCCTCACTTTATATGCATTCTGTACATTGATATTCAGATTTTTACATTTAAAATGGAAGACAAAGCAAAATAGCATGCTGGAATAAAAACTGAACATTTGTGACATTCAAAAGGCCAGATACTGCCATATGTTTTATTCACCATTACACAATGTTCACCCTGTCAAGCCAAGAACAAATAATGGAAGTATTTATTATGTATTATTCACCATTGTAAAAGGACTTCCTATATAAGCCTTATCTCAAGTTGTAAAACTGAAAAGCCATATTTACTTTGCAGATCAGCAAATCTACATGGGACTAGAATTTCATTTTGACCATAAAAATAATTTTTTAAAAGCTAAAGATCTGGCTTTCTATTCATAACTGGAAAACTAATAATTTCACTCAAGAGAGCTTTACAAGAACTACAGGAACAATTCTAGTAGTATCAGAGAATAAAGCTAAAATAACTGTTTCAAATAAGCTAAAGTACCCAAGTGATAAGGGACACGAGGGAGGGGGAATCAAACCGCACTCCATGTAAACCTCAAATGCCAATGCAGTAATAACAGTTTGCATTAAAAATATCTTATTCAAAGAAACCCAACACAAGTGTACCTAGAGCAAGTCCACAGGGCAACAAAGAAAAACAAAAGAATAATTAAACCAGCACAGTAAGCATTCACTTTTCTTTATTCAGGTCGAAGCGCCTCTTTCATGAGAAAAGCAGTCACCTAAAAGCAACAGTAGCAGAACTGTGGATTAAATGACATTCAGTAGTCTCAGTCACACCTCTCATCCAAAAACTGTGCAAGCACAAGCACCCCCTTGATATGTCCAAGCAATAAGATGGTGTGTATCATTATTTGCATAAGTACTGGTGATAGCAACAGAGTTCCAGGACAGAAGGAAGAGATGCAAAGGTAAGACACAGAAATTATCTCCTTCCTTCTTGCTCTCTCTCCCTCTTTCTCCCACACCCCCAGCCAGCCAGGTGTCCATCTTTGACTATGCCCTCCTGTAAAGAGTCCGGTATTAGTTTCACATGGTATAATGATAAGTATTACATGAGAGAAATAAGTTACTACAAGTGCTGCCAAGCTAAAATAGGACTCCCTCGCCCTAGTGACTGTGCCTTTCCACGACAGTCTGTACTCACGCTTCTCTTCCAAACGCTGTCCTCAGTTGGTGGGGGTGTCAATTTCCCAGCCTCACGTTCTGCATTCCCCGGAAGTTACCCGGATCCTCACGCTCCCCAACATCAGCACAACAGAGAGAGGCACATTCCTGACTCCCCTCAGAACTCGCCGCTTTATGGGGCGCGATCCACTTAAGTCTCCGCACACACCAGCCCACTCATCCTCCTACAACTCTTGTCTTATGTACACCAAGGGACGGACGCGTACTCAAACACCCGCCTTGGTCGCTCACACTCACCCCACCGCTCTCCTTTATTTACCTTCCTCCAAGAGGAGGTGCGGTGGATCCCACACACAGCTCATATTCACGCGCCCCTTAAGCGACGCCGAGGTCTCTGCAGGCAAGACGACTGGGAAAGAGGTCTGTTGCTCTGTGCTCAAATGTCCGGGCACAGAGAGAACGCAAACCCGACTCCTCCCAGCAGGAACGGCAGCACAAGGCCTCAGGCCCTCCGCCTACCCAGCCCCTCCACAGCCCCGAGGAAGAGAACGAAAGCGCGCACGCCCCACTCAGCCCATCAGCCGCCACCGACCAACTGAGTCGCCTGCCTGGCTGGAAGCCACCACGGCGACTGAGGGATGGGACCCGCCTCTCTTTAGCGATACTTACCAATCGACGCAGCTGTGGCTTTGATGGACGGCTCCTGACGCTAATCATATTGAGAC